TTAGGTCTTCTTCGTTCAACTTTGGTAATTCATATGTATCTAGGAATCTGTCCATTTCTTCTGTGTTGTCCATCTTATTGACGTATAGGTTCTGGAAATAAATGAATTTGTAGGCATACTTTAAAACTACCAATAAAGAATTTTAATTTTACTCTCTGGTTTGTGATTACATAATATGGTCATATATAAAAAATGATTAATCTATAAAAGGCCCTTTTGTTTTAGTTAATGTAAAAAGGATCAAACTGGCATCTGATATGACTAGAACTGAGATTCTCAGAAAATATTTTCTATCAAAATATTGCCAGTGCATACAGGGAAACTGTGCTCTAAGGATATAAGCTGTTTAGGAGTCTTAATAGGTAAGACAAAAATGTTATTAGAGGATAGGGATATACTGTAGCATGGTTCAATCCACAGAGCTGCTGAAGGGTGTGATGCGTAGAAATTAGGTGTAGAGGTAGAGGTAGCTGTAAAAAAATGTTTTAAGAAAGATTTCCCCACTGAAATGAATCTAAACCTTTATATTCTCTGACCTATGGAAATAGCCAACCACAATCTTAATATCATTGGTAATTTTACAAATTAACCTAAATGTGATAGAATACTAAGTACATTGTAGTGCTCATTATAGTTGTAATCATTATATTGTACTTTCCAATTTTTACCTCACACTACTACCATGAAGTTGTGCAATAAAAAACTTAGCCTGATTTATTTGTACTGTTTTGTATTATTTTGTTTTGCAGTACTCAGGTTTGAATCCAGGACCTTTTAAATGCTAGACAGATGCTGCACTGAGCTACATCCACATTTCTTTTTATTTTATTTTGAGACAGAGACAGGGTCTCAGTAGTGGCCCAGGCTGGCCTCCAACTTGTAATCCTTCTGACCATGACTCCTGAGTACCTGGAATCGCCAGTCTGCCTGGGCTTGACTTTGACAAGGATAGTACAGCAAAATAGTCTAATGGATTACTGATGGGGACATTACTACTTGGTAGTACTGACAGAGCTAAAATGAATAATTTTGGTATTTGATGAGTGAGATTTTTTTCTTTACCATTTGTTTTTATTTATATAGTCACAATACAATAAAGTATATAAGCCTGCAGCATTTAGAGATGGAAATGTATATCAAATAGGATAAAACCAAGTGTCTAACAAGGATGTGAAGTACTGATTTAAGAAATTTTTAAGTGTATGATAAAGTTGAAGATACAGATTTCTTCTCATCCAATAATTTCACTTCTGGGTATGAGAAAACATTGACAGATATGTTGACTATATCTTACAGTGAGTACACAGTAGTCTCAAGGGAGATTACTAACCATATTATGTTAATCAAATTTCCATCACAACTTTTAGGACAAATAGCTTAAAGTCAGTAAAGACTTATTTTGGATCATGGTTTCAAAGTTTTCCTTCCCTCTTCACTTGGCCTTGTTGCCTTTGACAAATGGTGAGGCAGTACATCATGATGGGAAGTATACAGAAAAGAGACTGTTTACTTCATGACAGTTGGGAAGGGAAAAAGAGGAAAAGACTTGGATCCTCCACAGACATGCCCCAGTGACTTAAGTTCCTTCCAGTAGCCTTTACCTCCTAAAGGTACTGCCACAGGCTGTCGACCATGCCTCTAGCATATGGCCCTTTGGGGCAAACCTTAAGATCTTTACCATAACAAAGAAGTAGAGTGCTTTCATATTTTTTTATCCTGTGTACTTGTATCCTATGTACTTTAATGTATTTGTTCCTACTCACTGTTTCGTATTGTGCTACTGGGTAGTAATACATTGCTTGAAAAACACTGCTGTAGATAAACTCATGCATATGCATATCCAGAGTTGTTAAAGACATCATTGTTTTTTTTGTTACTGGGGATCGAACTCCAGTCCTTGTGCTTGCGCAGCAGGCAGCGAAACCACTGAGCTAAATCCCTGGCCAAGACATCATTGTTAATAAAACCCCTAAATGTTCTACAGTGAGATGATGTATAAATAATTTGTAATGTATTCATAGACATGAACAATGAATATGAGTTTAAGATAGTATAGTAAAACTATCAATATATATATAAATTGCAAAATGGTTTGTGAAAAAAGTAAATTGGAGAATTATACCTACAGAATATTTATGTGAACTTTTTAATTGTATAAAGCAATACATATGAAGTTAAAACTGCTAAATTTACTCTTAGGGACTGAGATGAATTGGCAAGAAGTGTATAAGAAGTCTTCTCCATTGTATTTTACTTTTTAACTGAGCAGTGGACACACAGTTATTCATTCTATTGTTTCTATACTTTTATGTCTAAAAACTTGCATATTAAGAAAAAAATATCCCAGACCCCTTCATATTTTGTATTAAAAAGGTCTAGGAACATCATCTCATAGTTATAGTAAATCTACTTTATATACTATATTGTCTGTCTATGTTTAGATTGATAAAACTCAGAGAGTGTAAGAGCTAACATGTATGGTAAGCTTAGTAAGTACCAGTTGCAATTCTAAGTATTTTACTTGTATTAAGTAACTTTATTCCCACAGTATGTCTGTAAGCTAGGTCCTGTAATTTTCACTATTTTATAGCTAAGGAAACCTAAGAAAGAATAAAGTCATGTCTAGTAAATAGCAGGACCAAGATTTGAATTCATGATGACTTTCTGTGGATCCTGTACTGTTAAGCCTATACTGTAGGACCTTTCTATGAGAAATAAATATAATCAGAAAGTAGAAAAACTAAATATTGTAGTCGGTAGTATGACTTTTATGTTATAGGAGAATAGAAGAAATTGATTTACAAGAGCAGAGAATGAAATATTTGAATTCCAACACTCTTTTTGTCACCAAAGAGATACAAAGTGCCTTAATAATAAAATTCCAACTAAACTTGACAGATTATTGCCATGTATTATTGCCTTGTATAAGTTGGAGAGTTAAAAATTAAATTATGTTAACTTATGTTTTTTTAAATTTAGGGATAATAACCTTGTAAAAAATGAGTTAAAAGTATCAGCATTGGGCCATGGATTTAGCTCAGTGGTACCTCCGCCTGCCTCGCAAGCGCAAGATCCTGAGTTCAATCCCTGGTACCAAAAAAAAAAAAAAAGTATCAGCATTTTATTTGCTCATGATTCAGAGATCTTAAATATAGGATTGCATCAGATGCTTATAGCAAGCTGAAGAGCTGTCTGGGCAGGGAGCCAAAATCCTAACATTTGGGGTTGTTCTGCTACCACTTCACAGAACAGTCAACAAGATTGTTCCCATTTTAGCAAAAGTACATTATTTTTCCCCATTCTTCGGCCTAAAAAAATAAAGATAAAAGACTCATGCCTGTAATGAAGTACTTAGTGGGGTAAGGCAGGAGGATTGTGAGTTCATGGCCAGCCTGGACTACACAGTGGACTCTATCTTAAAATGAAACAGATAGGGCCAGTGATTTGGCTCAGGGGTGCTACTGCCTGCCTTGCAAGCGCAAGGTCCTGAGTTTGATCCCTGGTACCAAAAAAAAAAAAAAGAAACAAATATTTATCCTTGCTGTTTGCAAATACCTTAAAACTTTGGATATTAATCAGAGGTTTCTTTTCTCCCTATCACCCAACAAGTGATGCTATTGCTGAGATTAGAGCCATTTGTATTGAAGAGATTGGAGTATGGATGAAAATGTATAGTGATGCCTTCCTAAATGACAGTTACCTAAAATATGTTGGCTGGACTCTTCATGACAGGGTAAGTTATTGTCTTTTAAACTTTGAAGGAAGGTATACTTGTCTTAATACCAGTATGCTAGGAATCAAAATTATAATAGGTGAATTTTTAAGAGTTGTGATAATGTGAAATTTGAGATGATGAAACAATAATTGTAAAGCTCTCATAAAGCTTAATTGTTTATTTAATGGTCATGATGAAACTGACACTTTGATCCATGTGTCCCTCTGTTACTTAGGTGTAGTGCTGTCTTAACTCAAGATTGATATATCTGAACTCATAAAACATTACATATAAGTATCCCGAGAAATTATAATTTTAGTCACTTTCTAATTTGGAATAAAAGAAGATTTGTTTCTCATAATATAATAAAAATAAATAAACTTTCTTGTTTAGATTTTTCTAGGGTCATATCAGTTTTATTAATTGAATAGATTTATTGAAGTCTAGAATATTTGATCTAAAAATCTGTTTCTTTTTTTTTTTTGGTATTGGGGATTGAACTTGAGAGCTTGTGCTTGCAAGGCAGGCAGCGGACCAACTGAGCTAAATCCCCGGCTAAAAATCTGTTTCTACCTCTAGCATTATAGACAAGGATCTGACTTTAAAAGGAATCTCAGATCATTAACTCCTGAATAATTAACATTCAAAATAACCAAGGATAAGAATGATAAATTACTAGAGTTGTTATAAAGAAAAGACCTGACATTGTATAAATGGAACTGCCAGATATTTAAAAATATAGAAACTGTATAACAATTTTAATTTGTTACATTCACTTTGAATTGTTTAAAGTGTCATAGATATCAGAAGCTACTTTATTTTCTAAAATGCAGTTCTATTCTTAGACTTTTAAAGATAGAGTTGATAATGATGTAAAGCTTATTTTCTCTGTCTTATCAGCATGTAAAGCATTTACCTTTTTTTCTTTTCCCTTGTGGTACTGAGGATTGAACCCAAGGGCTTCATACTGAGCTACATTCCCAGCCCCTTTTTTTACATTTTATTTTGAGACAAGGTCTCTGTAAGTCTCAGTTCCCCAGGCTGGGCTCAATCCACTTGTTGCATCCACTCAGAATGCTGGAATTACACAGTGCCATGCATGGTATACTTTTAAAACATGATTACACTAAGTATTCTCAAAAATATTTTGAGGGTGCGCCACTTGCTCGCAAGTGCAAGGACCCGAGTTTGATCCCCGGTACAAAAAATATACATATATTTTGAGGGTGAGAAGAGAAGATGCAAAAAGATTTAAGATGTGTCATGTACACATATCAAATACGATGAATCCTGTAAACACTATACAGTATGCTATAAACATGAACTAAAAATAATGATGATAATAAAAACAGGGAAAGAATGTAGAGTTGGGGAGGGGAAGGGGAATAAAAAAGAATGAAGATGTGTTATGTACATATACTGCCTATTTCATGTACTGCATATGTGCACTAATAAAACTTATTTTTAAACTACAATTTTTAATGTACAATAAAATAAAATAAAATATGGATAGTCTTCTAGTGTTCTACTTCTGCAAGCTCATTTGCTTTAATATGCAAACCTTACTATACTTTATATCTTTAAACAAATAACTGTTAAATGTGTTCCTAATTATATTAAAACAAAAACTAGCCGAGGATTTAACTCAGTGGTTCCGCTGCCTGCCTTGAAAGCACAAGGTCCCACATTCGATCCTTGGTACCAAAAAAAAATATTAGTATCCAATTACAGAATGAAGAAAAATACCAAAACTCTGAGTATAAAATTATGGTAATCCTACATGGTAAAATGTTATGTAAGCATAATATATGAGTATAAATATTTTACATGGAAATAAAGGTCTATAGAAATATATCTGATATTTTGTTATGTAATAAAGTTTAAAAATTTGTTTTCGAAAAGACCACATAATTACATAAAGTATAATTAAAGACTGCATAGGAATTTTATAGGCTACTTTTGCTATGAGTTCATAGTATAGAAAAATCACAAGTTGGTAACTTAAGTTTAATGTTTTTAATTTGTGATTTTAAAAAGATTCTTTTCTTTCCCCAACACTTCATCTAATTTAAAATCTGATTTTTTTCCTGAATCTGAATCTTCCCTAACAATTTATATCCTTTCCTTTTCAGTAATAAAGATAAAGCTATAGTCCATGTTTCTGTTATTAAATCCCACATGATCTGGACCTTTACACTTAAACCTATCTCAGGTTGATTTAATTAGATTCAATGTGAGAAAATATGGAATTATACAATGTACCCTCAAGCATGTATATACCCTCCAAAATTCAACAAGAAAGTTCTTATTAGGAATTGCTTTAAAGTATCATGCTTCTTTATTCCCTACTAGTTGTTGTTCACCCACCTTGTATTAATCTGAATTCATATAGCAGTCACCAGTTTTAACAAAACCTCATATGCAGATCAAATTTTGGGGAAAAAACACTGATTTGAGGTGGCTTACCAAAAAGTAGCCATCAGTTTTTTAAAAGTCACTAAATTGTTTTGCAGAAATCCAGTCTTTAGATAAAGGATGAAATAGATTGCCCTTGTACTATATTCATTGAAATAGTTTCTTAAACCTTTCCTATCATCTCCAGTTACTTTGTTTAGGAAAAAGACATAAGTATTAAATAATCTCTTCTAAACTTTTGTCATTCTCACTGTATTCCACCCCCCTTTATTTTCTTTCTCTTGTTTTAGTTATCTGATTGAAATCACACTCTATCACACTCTCTCTAGGCTATGGCTTCTATCTCTGGATTCATCCTGTGCCTCTTTCAAATAAGCTGATAAAACTTTTATCCTGATGTAGAATGTTAAGGGTTATAACCTTGTCTATCCTCCTAAATAAGACAAAAGTTTTACATATGATTTTTAGTCTTTAACAGCTCATTTTGGTTCTCCCCAGAAGGATGATATAGAACATGCCTAATTAAAATTTAGCAGTAGTAGTTTCTAGGTGTTTAGCTAAATATCTTAATCTTTTTGGATTTACACTGGTGACCCTGATTGCCTTTCTCTGTGCATTGCATTTCATTTGTACTTCTTGGTACTGTTTTTGCTTTTACCTTGATTCTTAATCTGTTTTCTGTTGCTATATGAAATACCTGAGAACGAGTAATTTATAATGAAAGAGGTTATTTTGGCTCACAGTTGCCTCAACATCTACTTATCTTATGGAAGTATGTACGTGCAGGAGGGGAAAAGGGAACCAAGCTTCCACAATGGCTAACCCATTCCTGGAAGAAAAACATTCATCCATTCATAGGGGCAGAACTGCTTTGGCTCAAACACCCCTTAAAAGCCTGCAACTTCTCAACAACATCCCACTGGAGACCAACCCTCAGCTTAAGTTTTTATCAGGGACAAGCTACTTCCGAACTATACTTCCTTGTGTGGACAGTTCTATTTATGTTTTCTAATATGTGCTTAATTCCTCATATCAAAATCATTGTGTTATTTAGACAGGATCTTAGAACTCTTTTTTTCTCCTCTTTTTATTGACTCATCCTGTATCCTATTTCTCTTAAGCTAACCAAAAAGCTTTTTTAGCTTTACCGCTCCCATCCCTCATCAAGATGACTATTACTCTCTGCTCCCTTTACCCCTGCTGCATACTAACCCATCCATTCCTTGACAGCCCACCTGAATTTGGTTCACTTTAACTCTTTCACAGTGTTGCCATTTAAAATTCTCCTAGCAGCCTAAATTATTGTCCTAACTTATTGTTATTAAAGATACACCTCAATATGAAATCATACTTACCATTGTGTTATGTAATACTTTCTGTAGCACCTAGTGTTTTTTGCAATGTAATTTTGCACAAATGTGAATAAAGAATCTGACAGTATACACAATGCTCTCCCCACCCCAAGAAATCAGTATATTTGTTTCTTTTCCCTGTTTTATTATATTTATATATTACTTGTTCACAAATATTCATTGAACAGCTAATATGGATTAGATGCTATGTTGAAAAGCATTCAAATTTGGATAAGATTTTTTTGTATTTAGGAGTTATGTAGTATTTAGGGTACTATAATAGCTTTAGAGAGTTGTAAATCCCCAAAGTCTAGCAATTGCCAAGCAGATATTTGAGTTTTTCATAGTTATTGTAAGGTTTTTTTGTAGTTTTAAAAAAATATTTTCATGGATGCCACCTTATTTAATTGTTTAGAAGTAGCAATAATGTGGGCCAGATACATTTACAGGGTGAATAACCAAGACTTGGGAGGAAAGATGCTTAATTGGGACTTATCACTGGACAATGTGAAAATAAAACACAGTTTGTTTCCTTGTTCTGTCTATATTTTGGAGGTTGTTGTTGTTGCTGTTTTACTTTGTTTTTTGAGACAGAGTCTCTCAATGTATGTAGTTCAAGCTGTCCTTGAGTTCAGAACATGTATGTAGTCCATGCTGGCCATGAACTTGAGGTGATCATCTTGCCTCAGCCTCCCAAGTGCTGAGATTACAGTTGTGTACCACCATATGCAGATCTGTCTGTGGTCTTTACTCTGTGAACTTAATGGAATGATTTCATTTCTTGGGCCATAGTTTCCAGGCTGTATTTGGAGTAAAGCCAGTCAAGCTATCCTAGATCAGGCATTATAGCTTTATAGTGAGATGAATGTTCTCAGCCTTTTGTTTATCCATTGTTGATTTCTATTCATTATTTATGTTACATCATACTTGTATTAGTTTTCTACCTGTCTTGCTTCTTGTAATACCATGTCCTGTGAGACAGTTCATAACACTCCATTGGCTGGCTCTCAAGCCTTGATACTTTCTCTTTATCTCAGTCCATTTTGTGTTGCTGTAATAATACCTGAAGTTTACTTAGCTTACATTTTAGAGGCCGAAAGTCCAAGATCAGGAGCCCTATCTAATAACCCTGGTGAGGACCTTCTGGCTATGTCACAATATGGCAAATGGCGTTACAAGAATGGGAGAGTAGGCCGGGGATTTAGCTCAGTGGTTCCACCACCTGCCTCACAAGCACAAGTACCCGAGTTCAATCCCCGGTACCAAAAAAAAAAAAAGAATGGGAGAGTATGAGAGCTTACCTGATGAGAGAAGATGCAAGACAACAAGGAGAGCCCCCCTCCCCCGAACTCTTTTATAACAACCCACTCAGGAACTAATTTATTCTTTCTAGGACAGCCATGGCCAAGCCACTTCCCTATCTGCTCCACCTTTTTAAAATCCCACTGCCTTTTAATATATACTGTTATATCAGGGACTAAACTTCTACCACATGAAGCTGTGGGATAAAAATGATGTACAAACCATAGGATGCCTCCGTTGCATCTGATGGTTAGGTGATGCTACCTTATCGCTAGTATTCTAGCATTTTTATATCCATCTTTACTGGGGGCCAAATTTGGTCTGTTGCTGAGGTTTGACCTTAGTCTAGTGGAAGATCTGTATGGATAGTGCTGAAGACTGCTGGCATTGTCCTTAAGATAACTGCCTCAGCTGAGACCTCCACATAATCTTTCAGCTAAAGGCAGGTTGGGAAAGAAACAGGCATTACACGATCCATTTTTTTCAAGCCCACAAATTGAGAAAACTAAGAGTTCAAGGTTCTCATTTGTATATAACCAGATTTCCTTTATATCTCACTTCTTTTCTATCATAGCCCTAAATATACCATAGAAGAGTTGCTTTGATTGAAGAATCTTTTAAATTCTACCATTTGTACAGTTGAGTATTAGGCCTGGTTTTCAGTGTATTCAGTTTTCTATCTCTAACAAGGCTCTTTAAATTTTGCCAGAAAAGAAATGCTTGCTTTGAGCTAGCAATCAGATGACCTGAGCCTATCATTTTCCTTTGAGATCTCAGTGACACTTAGCAGAAACCACTCAATTCTGGTCTTTGTAGTTATTATTCACTCTGTTTCTCAGATGTCTGAAGGTTGTACAAACTAGTGTACCTCCCTCATCACCCATAGGTGAAAATCCTAGCCAATAACACTGCTATCCTATGTAAAGAATTGGAAGGCTGGGGAATTTAGCTCAGTGGTTCTAGCGCCTGCCTCGCAAGTGCAAGATCCCGAGTTCGATCCCCGGTACAAAAAAAAAAAAAAGAATTGGCAGTACGTCACCTATCCCTTTGCATTTCTCTCATTAATCCAACCTCAATATCTCATTGTAGAAGTCTACTTGGCACCAACTGTCTTAGGTGTCATATTCCCTAGAAGCCAAACTTGAGTCAGAGATTTTTGTGCTAGCAGTATATATTTGTGCATTATTTAACAACAGGGATACATTCTGAGAAATGCATCATTAGACCATCTGATCTTGATGTTATAAGCTGGTCACTGGACGTAGCCTCTTGATGTAAAGTTGAAACAAGGTAAACACAAGATATATGAGGCTGCTGCCAATTTAACATAGCATTGTTTAATACTACACTTTTTTCTTTGTAAGTAGGTGTGTATTCTGAAATAATGCTTTAGAAGTAGAGTAGAAACAAGCTAGTAACATAGTTATTATCAAATATTACATAGTCTGTATAACTATGTACACAGTTTGTTTATACCAGCATCAACACAAACACATGAGCAATACACTGAACCGTGACTTAGAGTGGGTGCAGTGTCCCTACACAATAGGAATATTTTCAACTTCATTATTATCTTATAGGGCCATTGTATTAAGCAGTTCCCAGATGACCAAAACATTTTGCAGTAGTATGACTCTAGGAGGTATGCACTCAGGCCTGTAAGAAAGTGAGGAAAGTATGATATAGCAAGAAACACTAACAAAAGGGTGATTTCATGAGAAGTCTAGTCTCTGCCTAGTTTCACATGGAGCTTTAGAGAGTAAATTCCATCTCAGATGTTTTGTGCCCAAAGACATGAAGATTGGGTTGTTTTAAATTTCTACACTGGTAATGGACATCAGCTTGATGGAGAAGAGAGTATTGTAGCATGGATAGGAGAAAACAGGTGGAACATATCACTTAGGAATCTTAGTATACAGAGGTACTTGTCAATCATGGTAAGTTCTCCAGAGAACTGTGGAAATATTAATCATTAGCTGGCAATGCAGGCTGAGGCTGAGGCTGAAGCATAGTGGAGTAAAGGACTTTGGGGTTGGGCATCAACAGCATCTGTCACAGATACTTTAGATTCCCCCTGTGTGCTAGAGATTTATTCAGTAAAATGCTAGAAGTGACTTGAATCAGCTTTCAAGGGAGTGATTATATAAATCTTTTCACAAATCAGCTTAATATTTCATTGGCAGCTCAGTACTGGCCATGGAAGAAATCTGTAAATGTAGCAAATTGTTGCCCAGAATCAGTTATTAAAACTTGTAACATGGGCCCGGGATTTAGCTCAGTGGTTTCGCTGCCTGCTGCGCAAGTGCAAGGCCCCAAGTTCGATCCCCGGTACCAAAAAAAAAAAAAAAAACCAAAAAACTTGTAACAGCATACCCATGCATTTTATCCCTACAAAAACTTTATAATTTTGAGTCTTATTATTAGTGATTAATATACTTGCCATCTCACATGCATTTAATAGACTATAAAATTGGAAATAAAATCTAGTGTTTTCTGATTCTAGAACTTGAATTCCTACTATATCGCACATTACTTTTGGAGCATAGAAATTTCAATCTCCCTTGGTTTTTTTGAGACCAGTGTTTAGATATCTAGATGATCCTAAATGTACTTTGATTACATCATCCTTTACTTCAGGTTAATGACTTCATTAACGACATTCTGCTAGTAAATAGCACCTCATTACACTGTATCATTTTATGTGTATTTTAAATATTTCATTATGTTTTTATAACTGCTCTCTTTGAAATATAAAAGGTGTCCAGTAAATGTTTATTGAATTAATGAATGATGATTCTTTAATATAAAATGAAGTTTTTCACTAGATTATTCCACAGTTATAGACAGAATAAATGAGCATAACCTTTTCTCACAAGATAATGTTGATGTTACTCTGTGGTCACAGTTGATACCAAAGTTTGAAAAGGGTTTAGCCTACTCTCAAAAATGAAGAGATTTTCAGTGTATTTTCAATTAAATTTAAGTCCACCACAGATAATTGCTCAGTCTTTTCCTATATTGAGTTACAGTATGAAATAAGATAAATGATTAAGCTGAAATTTATATTACTCAGAGACTTCAATTTTTTTTTAATGTGGCATGGAATTAACTATTTTCTTTGTTTTTATTTGTATTTCTAAAGCAAGGGGAAGTCAGGCTAAAGTGTTTGAAAGCCCTACAGAGCCTATATACCAATAGAGAATTATTCCCCAAATTGGAGCTGTTCACTAACCGATTCAAGGTAAGCATCAAAAATGGTGAGCTTATTTTATTTTTCATTTCATAAATGGTAGATACAGTTGGTTTAACAAATCATATTACATAACAAATATTTGGGCTGGGGATTTAGCTCAGTGGTTCCGCTGCTTGCCTTGCAAGCACAAGGACCTGAGTTCAATCCCCAGTAACAAAAATAAATGAATAAACAAGTATTTGCTTTCTATTCCTTACTACATACTCTTAAATAAACTCATATTACCTGGATGAATTAATCTCTGCTTTACAACATATATACCCAACATGAGTCCTTATTTCTTGGCTGTAGAAGGCTTTCTTGTGTAAAATAGATTATTTTTATATAGGTTTTTTATAAAAGTATTACTTTTTTAACTAAAGGTTTTCTTATTGTTTAAGGAATGTCAGTTGATGAGAAAGATTTTACATTACAAACATTAATAATACCCTTTTTATATAAGTACAACTGTGATAACACAGTTTCAAGAAGAAATCTTTCCATTTAACCTGTCGTTATTGGTACATGTGTGCCTGAGAATATATTGCCGTAACTCTCTCATGGCTTAGTTGTGGTCATGGTTTGTTGCATAATTTTTTTTCAGGATCGCATTGTATCAATGACACTTGATAAAGAATATGATGTTGCTGTAGAAGCTATTCGACTGGTTACTCTGATACTTCAGTAAGTATAATGTCTATTAATATTTTTATTTAATCTTTTGATATTTTAATGACTCTTGGGCATTATCAGTATACTTCATATGTATATATAATGTTAGGTATATTTAGAAATTTTTTTTGGTAGCCCCTTTTAGCTGTTTTTTTGTTTTGTTTTTTCTAATCGTGAGTAGGAACAGATGTGGAATTATCATATTGCTTTTGTCCAACACACAATTCATAGCAAAATTTATAAAACAAAAGTTTAATTACATATAAATAAGTTGAATTAGATTACTTATTGACATTAAACATTTTGTAAACCTAAAGTACTTTTTCCTTAGATTATCTAAGAACAATCAGACATTTGTCTGATGTTCATACTTTACTGCATATTTAAAATATAGTAATGAGCTGATACTGGAATTTCAGGTACTAAATTTAGCTTTGTGTCTGAGGGAAAATTGGTTTTATGAAAATCTAAAACTATTCTAGCTCCTTTTATGGTCAAAAAATTATTTTTCCTTTTCATTTTCTGTCTTTTGCTACAACTACCACTAATTTTATGTTTAAAAGAATTCGTGAGGAATGTATTTTTCAACCATGAATGAGGATGAAAATAAAGATTTTGAATTGTGTAAATATCCAACTAATTCCATTTTAGAATATTTTTGTGCTATTTTGTTTTATATACATATTGCTTATGTGTATACTTTATAAATAGCAAAGTATACATAAATGTAAAATGGTTTGTAATTATTTTAACTTTGCATCCTGAGTCTGAATTTCATCTGGATATCATACCAATTCAGTCAGTAGTTATCACAAATATTAAGCAATTTTGAAATTTGCCACTTGTTTCTTAGTGACCTCTCTTTAGTTTTCCGCATTTAGAAAGAAAACATAACTGTATAAACCTAACACCAATATTCTAGTCTCCATGCTCCAAGTATATATTTAGTGGTATTAGGATAGAAATGATATCATTTTATATATTGCGTACATTTACCTTTTATTTGAACTGCAGTGAAACTGACATTTTAACTGAAATTGAATGAATTCTGACCAATTACTGACCAAATCCTGTCTAAAAGATGTTTTTTATGTTCCAGTCTAGGAAATCTTTTAAATTGGGGGTTAATTTTTCATATGCTGTTTCCATTTGTTTTCTTACTGTGTCTATTACATTGTTCTTGTCACATCTCAGCTTTATCATGTCTGAGTTTTTCTAACATTGAATCTGTGATGTAAAAAAATGTATGATGTGCTACAAATTTCATGCATAATAAACTTAAGTTATAGCCTATGTAAAAAAAATACACTATCACTTCAGGTTCTACTTTACATTTTAAGGTTCTGTGTAAAACAAAGTATTTGGTTTCTTTCTTTTTGTTTTTCATCTTGACTATTGTTTCTTTCCTCCATGTAAAAGATCTTTTAAATGGTATAGGGAAAATATCATTGAAGTGACAAACCTTATTTTAGATAAAAACAAAGAAAAGATTCAAAAGGTGGAACTGTCATAGGTTTCTGAAGTAGCCTTTTTCATTGTATAAAAGTGACACAAAGGAAATCAGTCAGATAATTGTTTTATTAACACAAAAGTTTAAACAGATTTTTTGGGGGGGAGTACCGGGGATGGAACTTGGGTCCTTGAGCTTTCGCAGCAGGTGGCAAATCTACTGAGCTAAATCTTCGGCCCTAAAAATAGATTTTAAAATAATGTTACAGCTTTATCTTTGTAAATTTGACTAAAACCAAGAAAAATTTACATGAGGAAATGTGACTTAGAATGAAATTGTTATGAATTCTCCTTTTTCTACTTTTTTATGATGCCGCTTCTATTATGAACTAAACATCCATAACAGGGGACTACTGTTGTTTGAGCTCCTTTCACCTTTGTGCCCTAATACCATGATTTTTATCGTTGTGGCTTTATAATATATATGATATAAATTTGACTTACTCCTGCTTTAGGGATAGTCTATTTTTTAAAGATCTGCTTAGCTTTTATCTGTTGTAAAAATTTTCTAAACTTTTCGAGTAACTGAAAAATTTGCTTTAGATTTGGAACAGTAAAACTGCATTGAATTTTATGGTGACTTTAGGATGGAATAGATTTTTTTTAATGATATATCATTTTTGTATGACAGTGATAGACATCTTTATTCAAATATATTAGATCTGTTATATATAAGAGTTATATTTTTACAGAGATCGTATACATTATTTAATTCTTACACATTGTATGGTTTTATTGTTACAGAATTACTACTTAGTATTTTCCACTTGGTTATTGCTGAAAAGTAAGAACTTAATTTTTGTCAATCTTATATGTGTACCCTATTAGAACTCATGAATTTTTTTTTTTTTTTTTTTTTTTTTTTTTTGTGCTGGGGATCTAATTCAGGACCTTGCACTTGCAAGGCAGGTGGTGGAACCACTGAGCTAAATTCCCGGCTAGAACTCATGAATTTTGATGTTTTCTTGATTCTGTTGTTGTCACTATGTATATTATTACATCATTTGCAACAATTTCGTTTTTGTCCTCCCTTTCCTAACCTTACAAGTTTTGTTTTTTTCTCTTATCTAAATGCATAGGCAGGGTATTTAACACTATTAACAGTAATACTGATAGATATTTTTGTTCTGTTCCTATGATTTTTGTGGTTTCTGTTGGTATATAATTAAAAAGGTTTTTGGGGATGAGAATTTAGCTCAGTACCGCCGCCTGCCTCACACGCGCAAGGTCCTGAGTTCGATCCCTGATACCAAAAAAAAGTTCTTTTTTTATTGTGAGTTTTTGGGGAGATTTTCCTTTTATCCATTCATGATCCTGAATTAAATTGATAGACTTGTCTGATAAACCACCTTTACGTTCTAGAATAAATCCTATTTCAACAAGACATTTTATTTTGTTTTGTTTAAATACAATGTTATATTTAAATCAGGCTTTTCATGTGTGTTCTTTTTTGTTCCACTGTTTTTATTAAATTGTATAGTGACTATTTTCTTGGATTCTGTTTGCAGTACATAGTGATTATATTGCTCAAGGGAGCTGCTACATGCACCTCACACGTCTTAATTCTTTTCATTTCCTGCTCCACTCCATCTCCCTCTCTGCTCCACCTCCATCTCTTGATCCCCTTCCCATTTTCAAAAGATTTGTCACATTTATATTATCCTTTATTTTGCTCTTTATTTATATTTCAGGTTTCTCATATAAAAGAAATCACGCAATATTTAAGGTTATATCATATGTATTTCACTTAATATTACGGTCCCAAAGAATATCCATTTCCTCACAAATGGCTCATTTATCCTTCTTTATGGCAAACTAGAACTCCATCGTGTATAAATACCACATTTTCTTTATACATTCATTATTGATAAATATATAGGTCACTTGTAAGATTTAGCTATTATGAACTGTTATGTGATCTCTTAGTAATAACCATTCTTTGTGGAATAAGGTAAAATCACAGTGGTGTTTTAATTTGCATTTCACTAATGGCCAGAGATGTTGAAAATTCTTTTATGTATTGATTTTTACTTCCTGTTCTTAGAAAGATCTGTTAATTTCACTTGCCCTTTTTTGATTGGATCTTTCATTTTAGGGGGGATCTGAGTTTTTTAATTTCTTTAAACTAGATACTAATTCAGTGTTTGAGGTGTAACTGACAAACATTTTTTTCATCTCTTCACTGTATTAGTTATTTCCTTCGTTGTACAGAAGCTTTTTAATGTGATATGGTCCTTTTTGTTTATTCTTGGTGTTATTTCTCATGCAGCTGAGGTTTTGTTCAGAAAGTCTTTGCCTATGTCTTCCTATTTTTTTTCTTCCAGTAAATGTTTCTGTTTTAACATTTGAATTGTTGATCCATTTTGATTTTAGTTTAGTACATGGTGAGTGATACCGGTCAAGATTCAATCTTCTACATGTGTACAGCTTTTGCTTTTCTGGGTCTCTTCTGGTTTCATATGAATGTTAGGATTGCTTTCACTAGTTTTGTGAGTAAGGTTGGTATTTTGATTGGGATTACATTAAATTAGTTTTGGAAGTATGACCATTTTAACAGTATTGGTTCTACCTATTTAGGAACAGAATATCTTTACATTTTTCTGATATTCTTTTTTAATTTCCTTTTTCAGTATGGTATAATTTTTATTGCAGAGGTCTTTGACTTCCTTGGTTAGGTTAATTTCTAAGTATTTAATTTTGTTTGATGCTATTGTGAATAGCATTGTTTCTGAAATTTATTTTTCAAAGAGTTCATCATTGGTATAGTGGAGCGGTATTGATTTTTTTTCTTTTTTTTTTTTGTACTGAGAATCGAACTCAGGGCCGCACATTTGCTAGGTAGGTGCTGCACTGCTGAGCTACATTCCCAGCCAAGCACTATTTATTTTTGTGTTTTGATTTTGTATCCTGCTACATTACAAACCTTGGTTATTAATTCTAGGGGCCTCTTTTTGGGATTTTTTTTTCTGCTCTGTAGAGGATTGTGCCATCTGCAAATAATGATAATTTGACTTCTTCCTTTCCTAAATATCCCTCTTCTTATCTGATTGGACTGGCTAATGTTTCAAATCCTGTATTCAATAAGTGTGTTAATAGTGATATCCCTGTCTTGTTCTTGATTTTAGAGGGAAAGCACTCAGCTTTTCCCCATTTAATATGTTGTTGGCCACTGGTTTGTCATAAATGGCTTTTATCAGAATGAGAAAAGGTCTTTCTATACCTATTTTCTTAAGGGTTTTTATCATGAGCAGTTGTTGGATTTTGTCAGAGGCCTTTTTGCATCTGTTGAGATGATCATATGATTTTTGTCCTTGGTTCTGTTCATACGGTACGTTAAATTTATAGATTTGCATATGTTGAACCATCCTTTCATTCCGGGTTTAAAGCATACTTGGTCATGATGTATGACCTTTTTGATGATTTGTTGCATTCCCTTTGGCAGTATCTTGTTAAGGATTTTTGTGTCTGTGTTCATTAAAGAGGTTGGCTTTAGTTTTAATTTT